AAACCTTGCCACGCAAAACCAACACATCTTCTCATTGAGCTGACATGGCCTTCTGTGCGAAATAGCCGAGTATTTGAAGGTTCTGCATTAGTGTTTTGGTTTGAAGCTGTAGAACAGTTCTGGAGTGGTTGAGGGAGGTGATTCTCCCCCTCTACTCACCCCTCCAGGGGGGGGCTCCACATACTCTGGCCTCCGGTGGGGTCTCACGATACTCTGCTCTCGTGAGACCCCACCTGGAGTACTGTATCCAGCTCTGGGGGCCCCAGTACAAGACAGACATGGAGCTGTTGGAGCGAGTCCACAGGAGGCCACAAAGATGATCAGAGGGCTGGAGCACCTCTCCTACGGGGACAAGCTGAGAGAGTTGGGGTTGTTCAGCCTGGAGAAGAGAAGGCTCCGGGGAGACCTTATAGCAGCCTTCCAGTACCTGAAGGAGCCTACAGGAAAGCTGGAGAGGGACTGTTTACAAGGGCATGCAGTGATAGGACAAGGGGGAATGGCCTTAAGCTGAAGGAGATTTAGATTAGATGTTAGGAAGAAATTCTTCCCTGTGTGGATGGTGAGGCACTGAAACAGGTTGCCCAGAGAAGTTTTGGATGCCCCATCCCTGGAAGTGTTCAAGGCCAGGTTGGATGGGGCTTTGGGTGGAGGGTGTCCCTGCCCATGGTGGGGGGGTTGTAACTACATGATCTTTAAGGTCCCTTCCAACCCAAACCATTCTATGATAGGATCTATGATACATGATATGAATCCCCTGATTCCGTGTTTGACTTTTTGGTTCAACTGAAAGATTGGTTTTAGTCTTGCTAACAGAATTTATTTTGGAGAAAACTAGTCTATTAACTCTGCTCCAGATTTGTATGTTCCTGCCACTAGAGGGGATGTTGTGGTCTGCACCTGCCATAGATCCTTTGGAAACTTTCTAAGGACTCACAGTGGGGATGCTTAGGGGGGGAGAGGCAGCTGAATAAATCTAGTCCACAGTAAACCCCTTGAACTGCATATATAGTAGATGTAAGGTTCTTATCGTCAACTTCTCTGAACTCCTGCTCTCTCCTGAGGCACCAAATTTCTTGTTAGCATAGACATAGCCTAAATAGAGCAAGAGTTCTGTAGTCTGTCTACATTTATGTGTAGAAAAAATGTTTGTGAATAGCTGTCCACATACCCATGTATCACTAAATAAAAACATTAGGCTTGTGTGTGGTCCTGCTTAGACCTGGTCTTGCCTGCTCTGTCCTTTACTTCTATATTGCGTTGCTTATTTAATTGGTGGTTTCTTTTGCACAAGTGCTAAAATTGTGCCGAACAGTCAGAAGGAGCTGTAGTTCTCACTCCCTGACTTCTGTGACCCTGAAGCTTTTAAAGCTGAAGTGCAACTTTGGCACATTGGGTGAAATTTTGCCTTTGTAAGGTGAAAAACGGTGAAATTTTGCCCATATCGAAGCAAAATGCTTCACATCCACTCCACAGAAGATAAGGCTAATCATTCTAATCATCCATGATAGCACCTAAACAGCCCTTATAAAAATAACTTCAGTATTCTCTTGGGTGATGCAAGACAGTGCTGCAAAGAGTGTAGCCACAGCTTGTGCTGTGATTTCAAAGTCACAAGTGTGGCACCAATCTTACAGGGAAGATCTAGAGAGCCCCCAGACCTTATTGCTAAGTTCCAAGTAGAAGGACATATAATTGAACGTGGAGGTACATAGAAAAGGAATAGAATGAAACACGGAGATTATGTTTTAAATGAAACTCTGTAAGTATATGAATAGTTTGACATGGTGCGTTGTTTGGAGCAGTGAGGGATGGACTCAGCGATCCTGCCAAAGGTCCTTTCATTTTCCAATAGCAGTTTCATTTCTTTGACACTGTATCACTGACATCGGGGGAGACTTGATTTTGTAGTTCGGAGGGAGCAGGAAGAAACCTGCAGTCGCTGTACTTCTATATCTAGCTTGTTGCTTTTGAGCCCTTCAGGATATTTGTACTATAAGACAAACTACATAAAATCCAATTCCAGTCTGTTCTTGAGACCAATCATTATGCACAGTCAGACAACAAACATGGGGGTGGGATGTGATGGAGTAAACATTTGTTGTTACTATGCTAATTATGCATTTCATGTAGACCTCCATATAATTGTTACAAACAAAACACATTTATGGTCTGTAAATTGCAGAGTTTGAGAGACTCTGTCGCTCAAGTTGCTTTTGCACATGTACAGAGCTTGAGCATACCACTCATTAATAAAGTACCTGCTCAGTTAAATTTCAAATGGTTGCCAAAGGAAATATTTTAACTTTTGGGTGGGGGAGTGAAGAATTAGAGTTTCTTTGCTGGGATCCTGAAAGTAGCACAGGCTTTGCAACTTGCAGTGCCATTTCCTTTTGTCATTTGCTATTTCTGATCAGAAGTTACGTGCTTGTCAACAAAAGATGTTACAAATGTGTTAGTTATGCTCTGGAAAAAATGCTCTATGAGTCTGACATGTTTTGGAAGGCTGAATCAACAGGATTCCTGGGGCTTCTTAAAGATGGCAAGACTCAGAGGGAGAATAAAATAGCACGTGGGTCCCAAATTTTCAGTTGCATTATAAACATTTTGAGGAAACTTTACAGTCGAGTGGGTGCTGATCCAGTAACTGACTCTTGTCAGTTGGGAAATGCATGCGGTATGCACTATGTGTGTGTTAAAATTCCTGTGGGCAGCTTTGGGAGGTTTCAGGTTTGATTAAAGCCTTTTTTTTTCCCCTCCCTTTAAGAAAAGCACTGCAGCTTCGCTGATGTAAAATGCTAATCTTGGCATAAGGCAGTAATAGCATGCATTTCTATTTTGTATGTATAAAAAAACTATTTCAACTTGAGATCTGAGTCCATGCTTAAGAGAAACCACAAAGTATGTGGACATAGGGTCATGTTTTTGGCAGATCAGCTAGACTATAGGATATAATAACATGCTGCAGTTGCAGCTGGTACACACTGACTTCTGCAGCTATGTGTCCGCACCACAATGCAGCAACACAGGACCACACTAAAATATAAAACATGCTGAAAAATATGGATCTTTGGCTTTTTTGCTAATAGGGGTTAATTATGGGCATGATAATGCTCTGGCAGTTTTTTAAGATCCTTTAAACGTTAGGATGGAAGAAGTTGGCAGTTCACTGCAAGCATCAGAGTTTGTTCATTAGTGATCCAGAGCATCATTCTTAAGCCTGCTATCAACCCACTAATGTGTAGGTAAGTATGGTTCATCCCTGCATTGGAAACCCAAGTAGAGGGAGGAGTGGTGAGCCGAGGCCCAGATGCTCTGTTGTACTAAAGAGAGAGCTGCACACGCTGGTCTAGAACTGCACTTGCTTTTCTGCAGTTTAAGAGGTTCTCACGTTGTGCATCTGGGATGTTTGGCAAGGCGCAATGTGCCCTCACAGAGCTTTTCATGCCTGTTTCTTGCTGTAGGAAACATTGAACAAATCCACTAGTTCCCGAAGCTTGAAGTCCCTTGAAACAGACAGCAGTGAAACAGAGCTGGAACGAGTTCTGCGACGCCGGAAAGTGACCACTGACCAGGACAGCAGCAGTAAGTGGCCGGACTCCTTCATAGTCCTCTTCCTCTCCTTGCGTTAAGTGACTCTTGAAGCTTGACTTTCTCTTCCAGACCAATCCCATTTCAGCCATTACGGAGAACCCTGCTTACTTCTACAGTGACTCATTCTCAGTGACATTTTCTCCAAGAGATGCCTCTGTCAGGATTTTCTGCGCACTCACACAGCCATATATGCCCAGGTTCCTCTGTCCTGCCTGGAGCTCAGACTGAGGTTAATAGTCTGAGCCTACTGCGAAAATACTTTTGAAAGGAATGCTAACCAGAGGAATGAGGGTTTAGGAGTAATGTTTTGAATTAACCTCTTCTGCAGAGCAAGGGTCTGCAGTTTTTAAGCTATGCTTTACTGTCCGCATCTGTAAGAAACGATGTTCTGCCTGGTTAGAAACACAGTTGGTGCAAGCGTAAGTCCATGCCATAGTCTATGCAGATGTGGCTGGTTTTAATGTCACTGTATGGTTATAGCTTGGACTTTGTAGACAGACAGCTCACTGACTACTCATTAGTACGAGAACAGGCTGCTTTGTTGTTCGGCTGGCGCTCTCTCCGGCTGTGCTTCAGGCTGGGAGAGCACTGGCGAGTCGTGAGTTGGTACTGCTGCATGGGCAGCTGGACTTACCATCCCAGAAGGGGCTTGAGTGCGCGGCTGTGTCATATAGCAAACCCTGCTTGAGGTACGAGAAAGGGTTAATCTTGGTGGGGAGAGCAGAAGCTGCAAATATGATATTTTGATACTCTCCATGCACTGGATGCTGTTCTTTAAAATTCCTTTTTGATTTCTGCAGTTAGCTTGAATTCTGCTGTGCTTATGTGTTGTTTCTAGACCAGTCAATCTGGATAACAGAAGCATGAAACTTTCTTTGGGTTTTAGGTCCCACTGGAATCTTGGCCACATCAGAATCGAAATCTCTGCCTGTGCTAGGTTTGGGAGCCAGTGCCGCACAAACAGCATTGAACAAGAAAGACCTGGAGACAGAATTCAGTTCCAAAGTACCCGACTCAGATCCTGTCTCTAACCAGCTTAAGGGTGTCACGGGCTCCAAGCCTACATTACAGTAAGTGGAATATGGATTTCTAGATATATTTTAGTACCAGATCTGTTCAGCTGGTGCATTTTGAAAGTGATTTAACATCTGTTTTGGTTAACAGGATAAATGTACAGTCTGCAGCTGTTTGCCACTGACTTCTCAAATAATTTGCAGTCTCACGTAGAGGTAGAAATTGAATTCTCTATAATAAAACTCTTTTCCTCTAGAATCTCTGAACATTCTTTAAAAATAAAAGTTCATCATCTCTGCCAAAAAAAAAAAAAGAACTCAAAGAGTTTTCAAGGAATAGCAAGGTTGAGTGTTTCTCTATATCTGAAGAGGGGAGATAGTTATATACTGAATTCTTGGTTTCTAAAAAAAGGTAGTTCTAGCAAGTTTTTTAAAAAATAGAATCATATAAATCATATTAGTTTGTATACAGGTGTGCAGGGCAGTTTCCATTGGACCAAAACAGGTGCTATTACTCTTAAATGTTTGTTGGTAAAAACTCTGAATTACCTTGAAATCCCAATGTTAAGATTCTTCAAAAAAAACCCCTCCCTGAGCTCCCGGGTTGTGCTGCATTTGCACAGACAGGCAGAGGAATCTTTCGTCTCACCGGATTGAAGACCCGAGGTGCCAGCTCAGCATCAAAGAGTTAAACCTGCTGCGGAATTACTTCTTTCAGACAGATCCCGCGGAGGATTGGTTTGTGTTACAACAATACCAAGCTCCTTTTGAAATTAGGCTGTGCAGTTGCTTCAGTTCCCTTGCCAGGTTGTTTGTCAGTTTGTCACTTCAAGAAAAGGAAATAGATCAGACAAATCAGATCGGCAGAATATTGTAATCATGGCTAATTAAACCTCTTGATTTCCTGTTCTATCAGTTAAAAAATCCCACCAGTACCAATTCTAGCTCCACTGCCTAGTTCAAAGGAGTAAGTCACGACAAATGAGCTGGAAATTCAGTTCACATCTATTTTTATGAACTGATATTTACTTCACTCTCCTGCAGGTACTTTTATAATTTATTTTTGAATGGATAAGGAGCCAGATTTCCTTTTGTGCCCTACAGTTTTATGCTATTTGCACCGAGTTTTAAAAGTAGAATGCCTTTTCCAATCATACATATTTTCCCCTTTTATTTCATTTAAGTATCCTTAGAAGAAAGATGATCTTCATTTTAATTTAATCAGAAAGATGAAGATTTGTTCAACAGTTAATTTGACATGAATAATGCCATTGCATTTTCTTGAACTGCTACCCTGACACAAAGGTGAGGTTGTTCCTGAAAAATAGTGTTTGTAGTTTGTGGATTTCTACAATTTTGAACAGATAACCTTAATCAGAAAATACAGCAGCTCCTACCACCTTTTGTCTACCTTTTATTCCACCAAACTAAGTGGAAATTGCATTTACAAGAAAGGAAATGAAATAATTGCAGGCCCCAAGGTCTCGCAGAATGCATGGTGAATTGACAGTGAAAAGGATCTTGTGTTGACAGTCACAGTTGTTATGTGTTATAAAAGCATATGTGAAGCTCAATTTATTTCTCAGCTTGCCTATTCAGTGACATCCTAAAAGACACATTTCACTTTAATTTATCTGTTTAAACCATTAAACCAAATGTGGTGGCCAGATTCCTTAGTGCTGCAGGGCTGCTTTGCACCGAGTCACTGGTGTAAACCTGCTTAATTGGAAGGGCTCATCGTTGAGGATGGCTTTCCAGCAAGAGAGAAGGTGCTGGGGCTATCATACTTTTCTGCCACTGGGCTGGCAGGGAGGAGCAGAAATACCTAGGTGCTTCATACCATGTTGAAGTGCAGTGGCTTTTCTTCTTTCTCCGGGGTACTGTTCACAGCAGAGGTTAGTAGAAGCAGCCTCCAGACACCAAGGTGTGTAAGCGCTGTTTTGAAACAGCATTCATTTGAAGCAGGCATCAGAAGAAAGTTCATGTGTCTGACAACTTGGCTCTATAGTTAGGCAGTTTTCTGGGCTTCCCCGAGTACTAGCAGTTTAGTTTGGATCAGCAGAATGCTTCTGAAGCAAATCTCCCCATTTGCTATGCTGTGATTTGTATCCTGGAGTGGTCTTGGTGCGTAAACTGAATCCCTGGATTCGTTGGATGGGTGAAACTAAACCAGAAGACGTGATCCAGCCTTCAGTGGTTGTCCAGGGGGCCACATGAGAGCTAGTTCAGTGAATAACCCCTCGAAACGTGTTACGAGGACATGGGTCTGAAGCACAGGCTGTTTCCCTCTACAGGTCTGCTCCTGTGGCACCACGCTCTTTCCTAAAGTAGACCATGTTAACGCTGCTTTGAGCAGATACCCTAAATAACAAAGGCATACAAAAGATTTATTGTGCCTCCTCTTTTCCTTATTCATACCTGAGGTAAAAGGATGCAGCTGTCTCATCATTTGCAATTCCTTGAAATCTGTCAAAGGTGTGACCTGCTTCAACTGTTTGCAGCAGCCAAGCAAACCTTTTATATAGCACAGTAGAGGATTGCATGTCTCATAATTACCAGGTGTCTCTTGCAGTGCAGTGTTTATTCTTTTTTTCTTCACTTAGATTTTAATGCACAGCTTCCTATAGAAAACCTTAGGGATAGTTGTGCATGAGATACTTCTCTTTGCTGCACCATCCATTTACTAAGGTTTGTAATCCGAAGGAGGAGGTAATACGTACAGACATTTAAATGCGAACAGCCCTATTCATCATTCTTTATTCACCTTGAGTAACAGTTGAGCACACCCGTTCTCATGGAGAAAGAAGGTCACGTCTTTGAAAAAAGACCCAGTCTTGAAAATGTATCTGTGAACAATAAATACATAGACAGAAGTCAGCTCGTTGAGTAAAATCTTAGATCCTTCTGGCACCCAAGTGAGTGACAATCTAACCTAAGTACTACTGGGATAAGGAATTTCAGTGTTTGGTTAACGTAGGACTCATAACGTGGTTGGTTACTCCCGTGGTTAAGTGTTACCAAAGCACTTGGCCACTGGCTGAATCAGTTTGTTACCAAAGGAGGGACTGTGGAAAAGGGCTCTAATATCCCCAGATACAGGTTGATTCTGAAATTTCCCTGTAGTCAAACTAAGTGATGATGGCTCAGAGAAATGAATTCAGAAAAAAAAATTTGGGTTTTGAACCACTAGGTGAGGTGTTATTTTGGTGCAGGAGGTTGTTAGAAGCTATTAAGCAAATGATTTGGAATGCACGAAATTTCGCTGAGGTGGTGCTGAGGGGGACGACATCAATAATGCGTGTCCTATAGAGAAATGGAAGCCTTACCTTAGTATTCAGGTAACTTCCTCCGCAAATCTCTTCCCAAATGTTTAACCCAGCGTGAGTGTAATTCTGTGACAATTGCTTAGAAGAGAATAGGTGACAATTTACTTCCCTTGGGAGCAACGAGAGTTCCCGGGACTCCCTGGGGCGTGCAGACACAGAAGGGAAAGGTGTGGCTGGCTCTGCCCCTGCGTTTTGGGTTTGGGTTTTTTTTTTCCCCAGCACTTTGTAAACATTTTGTTTCTGGGCAGCAGACTTCTCCGCTAACAGAGCGAACCACAGAGAAGGGTTAGTCTTAATCTGATGATTTTATACAATTAAAGGATTTGTCCTCCTTCTCCTGGCTGTAATCTTAGTACCCCTGAATCATCTACCAGCTCTGCGGGAAGCAGCTCAGCCTCAGCTAGACAGAACTGCAAAGGTTTTCCAGCATAGGTTGAACATGAGCAATTTAGTTCGAACAACAAATGAAGAAAACAATGGGATGTTCTGCAAGTTTGAGGTCTCCTCAATTTGAACTGTTTTAAAAGCCATTATCACACATTTTTCTTACACTGTACTTCTTGTATGCTCTCTCAGTGCAGGTAGAAGCTCTCCAAGACTCTTCATTTAAATTAATTTGCCAATCTTTTTGAGCACTTTCAGAAAAGCACCTAAAAATGGGAAAAATTTCCATACTAAAGATTGTCTGCAGTTCCGTTCTGCTCGCTGCTATGTTGACACCTTTCTGCTCAGCTAGATTTAACAGAGGCATTCCTTAAACAGAGAGGGCTTCTTGCACTTTCTTCACAGATGTCTGGTGTTGTAGATGGTACTGGTACTATCAGAGGACGGAACCAACAGACTAATTCACTAGTGTCACTGGTTGTATTCCCTGTCATTTCCTTTTGACATATACTACGCTGTGATGGAATTTTTTGTTCGTTGAAGACTTTCCGGACTTGGAATTGGTGTATTTTTCACTATTGTTCAGTATTAGCCTTTGGTCCTCTCTGTTGTATTCCCCTGCGTTGTTAAAAATTCTGAAACATTTAATAAATACATCTGAAGCTTTTATTCTCAATAAAAGTTTTTGACTAGAGGATAAAATTGACTCGCCTCCTGTGCTCTGGCATGCAACAGAGAGACCACGGTGGCACTTGCCCAAGCTGAGACCCTGTCTCCCGGCCGGGCTGGCACTGTGAGCAGCTTGGTCCAGGTCAGGGCAGGACTGCTGAGCTGCTCTTATCTGGCAAACCCTCCGAGCGTGGCAGTTCGGAAGGGACATAGTCATTTGGAGCATAAGCGTTACTGTACCAGTGATGGGGATCTTGTAGGAAATGGGAATGTTGGGGTCAGAGTGGGCAGTAGTTAGGCAAGAAGCAAGCTAGAATTGACACGCAGGTGTGTGTTTTAAGCGGTATAAGGAAGCAACTGGTGGTGAACAACTGTTAAATCAGCTTAATGCTTCAAATCTCGTCTTTTGGGGCATAAGGAATAGCACCGGTGGAGTTTCACTTTGCTTTTGAAAGCAATTTTGCTTTGAAGAGAGATGACAGCTATTTCAGTGTCCTAGATTAGGGAGCTTGCGGAAAGACACAGTATACTAATTTGATGCCATGTTAAATGTTGGCTTTTGTAGCAGCAATGACTGATCGTACAGCTCAGATTCCGGGCAGAGTATCTACAAGGAATCTTCCCTGCTTACACTATGTACTTGCAAAACCAGTCTTTGCTGGAATAGATTTTTGCCAGTATTTTCTAAATACGCTGTAAAACCCATGAATTTTCCTACGGTGTTTTCCTTGAATGGTTTCCTTTAGTATTCTGCTTTTACATATTGTTAGGAATTTGGATGGGACTTCTTCCAATAAAATTTTCCATGATATTTACATAAGATTCTGGTTTCTAATGGAAACATATTACAATGATTTCATGAATAGAGCAAGGTTAAATAATACCAAGGTTATAATGTTAACCAGAGGAAACAAAGAAAATCCAAGTCTCAGTTGAGAATCTGATCCTTAGTTTGTCCTTTTGTGCTCCTACCGTAAATTAGTCACAAAGCACACAGCAGTACCTAGTTCACAGGCATAACCCTTCATTTTTACACCTTCTGTACCTCCTCTAACTATATAAATGGACTATATTGCTTTCGAGACTATCACAAGCGATCCTCAGTACTGCCTGGGACTTTACATATCCCGTACAATTAATCTAAAATGCACTTATCATCTAAATTGGATTTCACAGTATAGATTTTATGTCTTTAGTCCTAAAAATGTATGCAGACTTATGAACAATTATGTATGGCTGAGTACAATAGCACTAGGTTCTCCATTTCTGGCTTAAATATATAGTTGGACAAATAACAAGAATACCGATAACAACATTAACAACCTTAATGAAGGAAGAGCTTTGCCTAGAGCTAAATGCAAATACCTTGGCTGGACAAATTTCTAATTGTTCAAAACGGTGGCTAACTCTATCTGTACTAATTGCTTTTCTCAGCTTCATTTGTAGCAGCAAAACCTGGTTTTTGAAAGGGAGCACCAAAATTATGTTCATTCTTGCACTGAAACTTTATTATGCCTGCATTCTGCTCTTGACAAACTATTGAAAATGAGCTATGAATACCTGATAAACAGGGTTAATAATTTTTAACAATACCTCAGCTGTAACAGCAGCACTGTCAGGCTGGTGCTGCAACAGCGTAAAGGATTTGAAGAAGGGAATGCTAGTACAACCAAGTCTGAATAGTAATTCTTATTTTTATGCTTGAAGCGCTGATTTAATCACTGGTTTTCTCCATTAAACTACTTTATATCAACATCTTTCATTTTTCTGTCCTTTGAAGGTGGTAAATATGATTGCCGTTTTATCCATTTTTGTTATAAATGAAACAGACTTCAGAGCGCTTGGCTGTGCATCAGTTGTTGGAATGCTGCCATACACTAATGCAGACTCCCCGCTGTGAGCCCAGTGAAGAATTATACTTTGATTCACCAGATTGTATTAAATAGTCCAGCTGTTGGGATTTGAAAGATAGTTACCTCCAAAGTGAAATAAAAATGAACTTGGCATTTATGGCTTTGACCATTTTTATAGTGTTGGGCAATCAGCTTTTCAGAGGTAGCACTTTTTAAAATAACCCTCTTCTGGTTACACTGCTTTAAAAAGTTTAATTTGCTGTAACATTCAAAATACCCCACCTTGTATTTTCTGGAATGATTGGCAACTTTTGCATAAAATAAGCATTATTTCCCTTATGAAATCACTAGCTTCTGATGATAATCAAATGAGTCTGAAACTGTATCTATTAGTGCCAATTTCTGCATTAATTAACTTATACCGAAGTTCTAATGTTAGAGACAATTCTTGTAATTAAAGCTTGAATATGGAATTTCGTTTGCTATACATAGTGCTTCAGTAGCAAGCCGAGGAAATTCTTTTTGAAATGGAAAGTGCGACAACTGTTGTTTCTGTGATTATTTATTTGTTTTTAACCTGTCCATTTACTCTCTCCCCATCAGGTGGGAGCCAGTACATTCTCCGCCCCGTGCTCTAATTGTTGAGTGGGGTGACCTCTTTTTTCTTTGTCATTTTCTCTAGGACAAAGACTGTCGCAATAAAGGGTGGTTCATAGCAGATGGATCCAGTAGCTGAATTTCTTTCTCTGACCCCTAGTTGATTCTACTTTTTCCTTTCAAGGGTGTTATCTTAGCAGTATGGAAGGCTGATTCTTATGAGTAAGCATGAAAAATTAAAAAATATTTAAAAAAAAAGAAAAAACAAGAGGCTGCGTGCTAGCAAATGCAGTTGCATTCAGCAGCTCTGCGGTTAGGTTTCCGGGGAGAGCAGAGCCACACACCCACTGGTGCGTGTCGCACCGAGGTGTTCTGCGCCTGTCCAGTCTGGGGGCTGTAGCTGTACGAGTGTAGACACCTGTACGGCGTTCACACCGCTGTGTAAAGCCCTGTGAAAGATGGGCCGAGCACACGTGCGCGTGATGGCCCCCTGAGGCACGGGGGTTACGTACCCTCAGACGCGTGGGGCCAGCGGGCCCTGGGAAGGGGAAGGGGGCACGAGCCCGTTGCAGCAGCACTGAGCTGGCGTAGGAAACACCCCGGCCTGCGAGGTGCGCAGGTCCTGCTTTCCCAGCCTTTGCCTTGTTCTCTGCTGGTGCCTCCTGGCTAGTCAAAGGGTTTGCCTGCACATTTTCAACACTAGTACAAAGCTTTTGAACATAGACAAGTGCTTTTAGTGTTTATAGCATGATGCTAGCCTTGACAAATAACCCCGGTGTCTCTGACCTTTCCTTCCTCTCTCCCAGCTCAGAGGGCTTTTTATCTGCAAGAATCCCCGCGCTGCAGGCAATCAAGTTTTAACCCCATTTCTGCAGCACAGAACGTAGGGCTAACTCCCTCTGTATTCCAGGAAATCCAGTAGGCAAATTCTCAGAAATCACTTGCATCTGCTCCCAGCGAGACCACGAGCAGCCTGTTGGTGCTGAGCCACAGTGGAAAACCTGGTTATGTCGCCTCTGCCTCCCTGCCATGCAGGAGAGCCGAGAGCAGGGACAGCGCTGTGCAAGTTGCTCCCGGAGCGAGGTGGGGAGCAGCAGCCAGGTTGTCGCTCCTTCAGGCTGCGGGACTCTGAGCCTGCAGCCCACAGGAACGGGTGGCGTTTTCCCTGGGTGCAAATGCTCTGCTGGGCTGGGGGAACCTGAACCCAGCTCTGGGATGAGCAGAGAGAAAATAAATTCTTAAGACTTTAAACTGATCCTTTCATAGTCTAAGGATTTTCTCAGTGCTTTGTAAGTTTGTTTTTTTCTTTTAAATATCTTCTGTGGCTAGCTTAACACATGGTTCAGGAGTTGTAATGTGACTGGTGCATTTTGTCAACTATTGTCTGTATGTAACAGCTGTAAATCTAGAAATCTGTTTACCTGTTTAGTAGACCTGTCCCGGTCATACGTGCCACTAATAACAGAAATGCTTCTCTGTATATTTATATTGTTTCTCCTAAATATGAGAACTGTTATCTGTATTCATATATTTATTCTTTTTTCTTTAGATCAACTAGTCATACAGAATTGACAAGAAAAGCTTCTAGCAGTGAAAAAGAGACAGAATCCGTTGTAGTTTTAGATCCTGTTTCCACCAGTGGGGATCAGACGTCTGAGAACGCGCTGAATCAGAATGAAGCGAAAGCAGAAAAAAGGCAGCCGCTGCATAAAGAAACTAATGTTGAGAAAATAAAAGAAAGAGACAGTTCTAACTGTTAATTGTTATTCTGAAAGGCTGTAACTTTTGGGAACCATTATCTGGACATGTAAATTGCATAGGTGTGTTACTAGGGGCTACGGTCAGTACTCCAAACAGTTTTCAAAAACATGGTCTTTTGTATGCAGTTTTGTTACATGTATTAAAGTGTTAAATATAACTATGTATCACTCAAAATCCCTTTCCCATTTTAATTTTGCAGGTATGATTATTATTTTCTTAGACGTTGTCAGTTACCTTTACTTTAAAACTGTATTTGAAAAGGCTTTTTAAATTATTCCTCTGTTCAGAAGGCACCTTGTTAAAGGCCCATTCCAAAGCCTGCCAGAAGCCCCTTGCATCTCTTGACTGGAGAGCTCGGGTTAGACGCTGTGAAGGGGATTACACGCACATCAGCTTTAGTATGGGGGGTATTACTCATCATTAAAACATCAGCTTTTAGACACATTGCTTTCAAAACATTTTGATATCTACTTAAACCAAGATCTTGTAGGTCTCCTCACTGTTGTCTCCACAGATGCTCTTTTGAGGAAATGAAAAGCACAAGTGTAACACTTCTGTTTCACGTTCCCCCAGGACAGCTCGCCCAGCGACTGCAAAGCAGAGGCCGTGCAGCGTGTCATTTTGGTACCAAGACTTTCGGTAACCATAGCCCAAGTCACAGCTCTGTGGGTTGAGAGTGGTGCTCTCGTTTGGATTAAAAGCTTTTCCAAGGAGGATTTATCTCCTGGGGTTTTGTTTCAGTGTCACATTGCAAAGCTGGGAACTGCTGTAACTGCAGTCTGTGCGTGCTGCTGCAAAACCTGTTGCCCCGGGCTCCGTGGTATGGAGTACGTTTGGGATTCGGTCATTCTAGGACTGCGAGTTATTTCGCATCAACGTTTTGAGAAGTCCCAGCTGAAACCTTGCAGCACTAACAAATGAGCCTTTGGTTTGAACCTGGGACACACTAATTTCTTCATTAGGTAACAGTTCATTTAGATGATGCAAATCCCTGTTTCCCTCAGCCCTTATTTCCTATGAAGATAGGGAGGGAGGTACATAATTGATTTGCTCCACTGCCAATGCACATTCCACGGGAGTCTCTTTTTACATTCAACACGGTATCTCATTCTTTTTTAATGAACGAACAAATGTAATCAGGGATTTAACCGAAGATCGGTGTAACTGAAATTGGGTGGTCAAGTACTTGAATGCACTTGGATTATTTTTTATGTAATGATTTGCAACAGTGATAATATTGAAGGATGAATGTTCTGAGTTTCTTGGTTTGGCTCTGCATGCAGCTGTCTGGTGCTTTTCCTAAAAATAAACCGATAGTAACGAGTGTGGTAGTTACACATCTTTTTTGGTGTTTTTTGCATGTTTGCTAAGAAAATCCTGGACTTGATCTAATTGCTGAACTACATATAATTCCTAAACTTGGGGAAATTTGTCTCTCATCGATAACCTTCATTTCTGGGGGGGCGGTTGGTTCTGGTGATTCATTTCTCACTTAGGTATCTGTTACACTGAATTTAAAATGCAACGTTTTATATATGTATTTTTCCTCAAATTATTGCTGCTGTATTATACGTTTGAATTTTCAAATTATACAAAACCCAGAAGTTTTTTAAGAAGTATTTCTTTTTCTTAAACTGTTTGTTACCTAGGACATAACTTATTTATCTTTTCACTGTTGCTTATTAAAAAGACTCCTGACAAGTTTCCCAGACCTTGTGAAATCGAGTTGTTATTCCCTGCCTGGGAGTGCAGCAAGCTTCCGAGGGATGCCAATTACAGCTTTGTGCCCTACATTTGGGGTTTGCACTGCTGCACTTGTATTGATAGCTGGCTCAAACTGGAGCAAAATTTCCCTTGTAGGCCAGATCTAAGAGCAGCATTGAGGGTGCGTGGGGGGATGGAGCAGCGTAACAGTCAAGGCCTTTGTTTTTTGTAATTTTTTTTTTTTTTTTACTGTTTGTCAATAGCTCACTCTTTGTATGGAGAGAGATATTTTGCCTTTCCCAAAACAAACATTTAGTTTGACTTAACACAGAGGTGTTTGTTTTGTCAATTTGTAAATACAGCACAGAATTTTGTGGTATTTTCAAACTGTAGCTGCTGCTCAGTTAACTTGGTTTCAGCTGAAAGCAATGGTCTCCTGGGAAAAGAGAGCTGAATGCTTTTAAAAATGTTTAGCTAAAGTGCTTGAAAATAAATGGATTAAGGAATAGTTAAAATATGAGTTTCTTACTATTTTTTTAGAAATTTATCCAAAAGTTAATGCTGACAGCCTAGGTCAGCGTGCTGTTCTCCGGGAGCTGAGCAGGCAGACCTCCAACCTCCTGGGCTGGCTGGGAGAGCTGTGGAGGTAATGAATCCTGCTTTGGGGGAGGAAGCATATCAGAAACTTGTTTTTCTGGATGTGATTCTTCAGCAAAAGCAATAAACTCAAGATTTGCTTCACCTGAAACAGAAGAGAAAAAAAAAAACTTCATGTTTGCTGTAATCTGTTTTCTGGTCATGTTCTCTGCTGCACTCAGATTTTTATAAAATCCACCTGATGCTCACAAGAGCCTGTGAAACCCCTTTAAAAGTCTGCTCCTTAGAAACAAAGGAGCAGCAGCCCTGTGCTGTGATCACACACAGCATTAGGGCATGGTGCACAGCAGTGTGACCTGGGATGCTTACTGCTTTCCCTTTGTCACGAATCGCCCACCTTGCTGCCTTGGTTTTGAGCACCCACTTTCCTCTGCACTGGTGCTTTGCAGAAGTTCCATCATGACAGCACCTCTTCCCTGCCCCCAGCCTTTACCAGCTCCACGTAAGCCCAGCTCCAGGTGTTGCTGCTGTAGCTAACGCTTCACCTCTCTTCTCACTGCTGTGTTTCCCACTTCAGTGACACTCCTTCTTCCCTAGCCTCACCCCGTATTCCCTCTTTTCCGCAACCGTGATGTCCATCCCATCACTGAATACGCCTCGGCTATGCGTGTTCCTTTTCAGTACAGGGATGATGGCCAGTCTGACTCAGCTTGCAAGCACTTCACTGTCGCCTTCCAGGTGAATCCGGCGGCTGCACCGCA